GTTATGCCTAATTTTATGGAACTATATTTAATTTTGCTTGAAAAATTCTTCCTGGGTTATGCATGCATAATTTTGCTGAAATTATGCTTGAATTTATAATTTGATTCTGATGAATTTATAATTTGATTTTGCCTGGAGCTATCCCGAAATTATACTTAATTTTGCTTGAAATTATAATGAATTTGCCTGGAATTATGTCTAATTTTGACCGAAATTATGCCCAGAAATAATTTTAATTTATGTAACACAACCTAATATATAAGAATTATACTTTTTTTTTTGCCTGGAGTTATGCCTAATTTTGCCTGGAAATATACTTAATTTTGCTTGAATTTATAATTCAGATATCCATTCAATCTTAAATATATAAAGAGCCCTTTTTATCATCTGTATATTTTTAACTTAAACTCTTTGCTATACAAGATTCATTTTTCATACAATCTTATAGCTCTAAGATTCAATTTTCGTACAATATAATAACTTTACTAAAAAATGCCTAATATAAAATTGTCTGCCCCCGTATATATAGAGATAAAAATGAATTTATCTCTAGTATTTTAATTAAGGGAAACATAACTGCACGCTTCAAATTTAATAATATTCTCAAAAAATCAGATAAACAAATAATAGCAAGTGTTGCTACAGTTAAATTACAAAATTCCAAGAAAAAAACGAACATTGTAACTTTTAAACTCGAGAGTGTAAAATATAACAAATTACACAAGAATTTAACAAGATTAATAGCTGAAAGAGGAACAATTAACTCCCATGTTCATAAACTTAAAGAAGAAATGGAAAACCTGACTATAGATTTAGAATTTTAAAAATTAAAAAAAACAGTAAAAAATTTCGAGAATACAAATAGTGAAAATAATATCCATTTTGCAAATTGGATTCTCAGGAATGTTTTGGTCAAAATTTGAAGTTCTTATCAATTGATAAAATTTAAAAATATTTTAAAGGATCACATTGAATTAATAAAGTTATTATATTCGATTCATCATATGATCTTTAAGTCGATCATATTACATTGGCTATTTCAGCCGGCTAAGCTAGCCTAGCCATGGCTGCTATAGCTTTTTATGTTCAATTTTCATTCCATTTTTTGATTCAAGTGCCTTTGTTTCAAGTAGCCTGTTTTCTTCTTTTGTGCTAATTCTTTACTAAATTGAATACTTCTTGAGAGGATTCAGTTTTAGATATTTTAAATAAATTTAATCCAATTTCTGCATAACATTCTCTGAACAATCTTGTTTATATGTAGCATGCATATTGGAATGCGATTTGTTGTTCTTTGTTATTATTATATAATACAATTAAATGTGAATTATAAAAAAAAATTTTTTTTTACATTTTTCCAAAAATCCAATTTTTCTCAAATATGCATTATCGTGTAGCATTTTGAGGCTATTTGAACGCACTTTGTTCTCTTTACTTTATTCAAAAAAAAATTTTTAACATTTTTCTCAAATCTAATTTTTCGCAAATGTGCATTATCGCGCAGAGATGCTTTGTTTTTTGTGTTACAATGCAACATAAATAATATCGAATTTATTTTTTTGTATAATAATATAAAGTCGTGAATTAAAATATAATTTTTTTTAATAGCACCATTGTTTTTGTAAAACATAAGAACAATTGAGATTAATTCATTTTTTGTTATTACAATAGTAATATAATATAATTTTTTCTGTAATAATATAAAACCGGTTTTTATATTTAAAAGATATGTGACAGAATTAATAATAAAACAAAAAAATTATATGAATTATATACAGTAATCTAGCCTAGCCCAATCAATAATATATAAAAAATATAATATACTTCTGAACAAATTAAGGAGTGTTAATTAGTTTAATTTTGTATTTAAAGGTGAACCTCTTTTATGATATTCAAGAAAGTTTACCAATCAGAATAACTATAGGGGTGAGTTTTTTATTAATTACTTATTGAGCTAAAGTATATCTAAAGAAATCTAATAGTGAATTGAAAGCGCATCAGGCCATTTTATTATTCTAACACTAAATCTGTCTGTGTTAGATTTAGTAAATATTTTTTTTGTCACATCTTAGATGCGAAAAAAGTGTCAAAATTTTTCCTCTTTGTTGGTGGCTCTTAGAAATAAAATGAATATGGATGAATCTTTTAAAAAATTGGCTGATGAGTCAGATGTTATGAATCTGGATAAAGTTTTTCACATTAAGTTGCTACGAAAAGCTTGGGAATTCAGAGAAAGAAAACAGATAACAATAATTATGATTTTGGGTTTTTGTTATTTTTGAAGCGTTGCTATCAGAGTGAGTTTTCTCATTAATTACATGTCGAGTTATTAGTATATTCAAAGTTATACTGCCACATCGGTGCAATGAAATCTGATAGAGAATTAAAAGCACATTGGGCCAACTATTTGGTTGAACGTTCTCCTCTATCAATTATCAATGTTTCCATAGTACTGGCCCTGTCTGCGTTAGAAAGGACCTTTCTGTATTAAAATACTAGAAAGCATGCATCTGGGAAGTTGGTGAATAGGATATACTTTAGCATTGACTATATAACCGTTGACTATTCTGGCCATGTTCTTTGTTAGTTGATAATGATGACGCAAGTATTTTATTAATAAATTTTAATTTTAAAAAATAGGTTGTTATTGATTAAAGAACTAGAAACAGAATAGTATTGACTC